ATATATATATATATATAATGTGTGTGTGTGAAAGAATAGGGCATGACAAAAGTTGTCATTTTGTGTAAATAAGAAAACCAAGGCTCAGAGAATTTAAGTAGGGCATTGGAGCTGAGATTCAAATTTGGATTATCCTTACTTTTTGCCCAATAAAAAGCCACTTCTGTAATCAATAACTTGGATTATTTGATTTTCTGGTACTATGGACTTCTTTTTCTAATTACTTATTATTTAAAGTTTCAGATAAAGAGTGCAGGATTTATGATCTCTACTTTACAAAATAAAGGCACAGGGAAGCCTGGTGACAGAAAATTACAGTATATTTGATTCTTTCTTCTGAGCATATGCCAAATGCCCTCTTGGAGGAAAAGAAAGATGCATTTCCTTTTTCCATCTATTCCCTTTCCTGAGTTTTCCACAGAGAAGCCTATAAGTGGACAGAAATTCTGGAATAGGAATGCCAAAACTAGTAAGTTCTGGTACCAGCAGGTGGTGTGATTTTTAAGGTGCTGGATTCCCATATGCTGACTGCAGTTTGAGTTCCACATCCCCAATGGCTTGAAAATCACACTGAGCATATGTACATGCATGGCCAAAATCCCAAGTGGAGAATGGAGAAGAAGGGGTTACAGCATGGCCATTCATCCCCCCTCTAGGTGCTGATTTCTCACTTTCCCTCTGTGTCTCTCTTATCTCTGGTGAGCACATATGCCCTATGACAAAAACCTTAAAAAAAACCAAACAAACACTAATAAGTGCTAGGGATATAGTAAGTACTCTTTGGGCACAGGGCAACCTCACAAGTGATGGAGAGGAAGAGTAATCGAGAGGTAAGAAAACAGCCATTCCAAGGTACCACTGGAAAACAGTAGTGTATATTTTATTTGTTGCATTTGTTGTAGTAGGGACCTGTGCTAGTTGCTTAATTTTATCTAAAATTAAAAATAGAGGTCCTCTGAAATAAAAAATAATAATAATAATAGAGGTCCTCTCAGGTGTACTTCTTATTGGTGTATCCTTTGGATTATGTCTATTTATTATAACTTAGTCTTTCTTTATATTCACCTAGTTTCCAAGAAAAGTGGTTATGGGGGAGAATAGATTTAATAGATATTTAGAAGAAGCATTTCCTCCTAATAAACCTTTTGAGTCATCAGGGCAGATGTTAGTATCATTAGCCTTATGGAAGAGAAGGGATTTATACAAGGTCATAAGATAAATGACAAAACTAAAATTCTGGTCATTTGACTTCAAGTATTGAGATCATATGTCTTCCACATATCTTCCTGTGTATCTTCCCCATATAGTAGGAGAATGGCCCAGGTGATTAATAGCAGAGCTGAATATGTTACGTAGTCAGTGGTGTTCAGTGTTGGGAGTTTTACTCATGAAGAAGTGCTACAGATTGGGCTGGCTCCCTTTCCTATATGTAAAGAGCCATTTTTAGCTTATAGTAATTCTCTAATATTTCTGATTTATTTAGGCTGTCGTTTGGAAACAATGAGTTTAAAACCCTTTACCTACCCATTTCCAGAGACACGGTTTCTTCATGCAGGATCCAACGTGTATAAGTTCAAAATCAGATATGGCAACAGCATCAGGTAATTTCTTTCTTTTTTAAAAAATTTATTTATTCATTCATTTATTTTTCATTTGACAGAAAGAGACAGAGAGAAGGGAAGTGAGAAAGCAAGCTACCAGGTCCAGGACTTGAACCATGGTCAGCCTTAACCACCATGCCACCTGCTGGCCCCAGCATCAGGTAGTTTCAAGTAGGAGGGCCTATGGAAGAATGGCTAATATATTTTTACAGGTCATCCTTTTTGTGCTTTCACCTAGTTCAGGATACCGACTGAAGTAGAACCCTGTAACTCTCTTTCCCAGATATTTTTATATTCAGTATATATTATTAATATAAGTTTCTAAGTTAGGGACAACATGCTTTTTATTTTTTTTAAATAATTATTTTATTTAATTTTATGTATTTATTTGTTTGTTTGTTTATTTGAATTTGATCAGAGAGGGACAGAGAGAGCAAGCAAGCCACCAGGTCCAGGACTTGAACTGCAGTTGGCCATGTGGGAGTTGAGCACCCTTCACCACCACACCACCTGCCAACCCCAGGACAACTTGCTTTTTTTTTTTCCCCCCACTATAGGGCGTGTGCACTCGCCAGACAGACAGAAACATAGAGACAGAAAGTGAGAAATCACCCCCCAGGGGGGGATGGGTATGCCGCAATCCCTTCTCCTCCATTCTCCTCTCAGGATCTTGGGCACGCACGCACACGCGCCCGGCGTGAGTTTTAAGCCCCCGGGTCCGGGACGCAAACTGCAGTCGACTACGTGGGAGTCGACTACATAGCCATTACGCTTAAAATTATTAAGTTTATGTTGGTTATACTTGTCAATATTATCATATAAAAATAAACAAAACTAGGGACTAGCAGTTGGTGTAATGGCTATGTCACTAGACTCCCATGCAGTTGACCAAGGTTTGAGTCCCGGACCCAGTGGTTTAAACTCACACTGGGCGCATGTGCATATGTGCCCAAGATCCCAAGAGGAGAATGGAGGAGAAGGGATTGCGGTGTGGCTATCCCCCCTGGGGGGATGATTTCTCACTTCCTGTCTCTCTGTTTCTGTCGAGTGCACACGCCCTATAGCAATAATTTCTAAAAAAAATAATAATAAATAAATAAAAAACTAAAAATGTGCTTCTTAAATATATGTGTGTGTGTGTGTGTGTGTGTGTTTGTGTGTGCATTAAATTTGACAAATAACATGTTACATGAAATTATATTTTTTAAAATTAATGAGATTGGCATTGTTTACATTCCTGGCATTTACCCCAGGAATGCAAGAGTGTTTCAACATACAAAAACCAGTCAACATAATACACTACATTAATAGAATGAAAAGGAGAATCAGCAGATGGCATAATGGTTATGTCACTGGACTCCCATGTAGTTGTCCATGGTTCAAGTCCTGGAACGGGTGGCTTAAACTCTCTCTAGGTGTGTGTGTGTGTGTGTGTGTGTGTGTGTGTGCACCTGCCCAAGATCCCAAGAGGAGAATGCGGGAGAAGAGACTGCGGTGTGGCCATCCCTCCTGGGGAGTGATTCCTCGCTTTCTGTCTCTCTATCTCTCTCTTTCTAGGGAACATACTCCCTCTATAGCAAAAACCTCTCAGAAAAAAAAAAAAAAGAATGAAAGGAGGGAGAAACCCATATGATCACCTTATTTAATGTAGGAAAAGCATCTGACCAAATCCAACACCCTTTTATAATTAAAAAAATAAAAACACTTGGGACCAGCAGTTAGCGTAATGGCTATGTCGCTGGACTCCCATGTAGTCGACGACAGTTCATGTCCTGCACCCAATGGCTTAAACTCACACCAGGCACGTGTGTGCGTGCCCAAGATTCTGAGAGGAGAATGGAGGAGAAGGGATTGTGGCATGGCCTTTCTCGCTTTCTGTCTCTCTGTCTCTCTCTGTCTGTCTGGCGAGTGCATGCACCCTATAGCAAAAACCTCTTAGAAAAAAAAAATAAATAAGTAAAATAAAAACACTCAATAATCTAGGAATAGAAGGGAACTTCTTTTTTATTATCATTTATTCATTTCATTTTATTAATTATTATTATTATTTTAATTTGACCAGAGACAGACAGACAGAGAGAAAGGGAAAGCAAGCTGCCAGGTCCAGGATTCAAACTACGATTGGCCACATGGGAATACAACACCTTTAACCATCATGCCACCTGCTGGCCCCAGAAGGGAACTTCTTTAACATATTAAAGGCCATGTATGAAAAACCACAACCAGGGAACCAGCAGTTAGCGTAATGGCTATGTCGCTGGACTCCCACGTAGTTGACCGCGGTTCGTGTCCTGGACCCGGTGGCTTAAAACTCACGCCGGGTGCGTGTGCGTGCGTGCCCAAGATCCCGAGAGGAGAATGGAGGAGAAGGGATTGTGGCGTGACCATCCCCCCTGGGGGGTGATTTCTCGCTTTCTGTCTCTATGTCTCTCTCTGTCTGTTTGGCGAGCGCACGCGCCCTACAGTGAAAATCTCTCAAAAAAAAAATAAATAAATAAAAAATAAAAATAAAAACCCACAACCAATATCATGCTCAATGGTGAAAAACTCAAATCTTTTCCCCTAAGACCAAGGACAAGACAAGGATGTTCACGTTTACCACTTATATTCAACATTGTTTTGGAGTTCTAACCAGAGAATTTAGACAAGAAAAAAACGTATTAAAATTGAAAAGAAAGAAGTAAGGTTATCTCAGGGTCAGCCAGGTGGCATAATGTTTAAAGCAGCTGTATCCCACATGGCTGATTGAGTGGTTTGAGTCCTAGACCTGGTGGCTTGAAAAACATGCTGGTTGCATGTATGCGTACATGCCCAAAGTCCTGAGAGGAAACTGGAAGAAAAAGGATTGCAGCATGGCCATCCCTCCTGGGGTGTGATTTCTCACTTTCTCTCCCTATCTCTCTCTTTCTGTCTGTCTCTGGAGAGTGTATGTGCCTTTTAGCAAAAAACTAAAAGGAAAAAAAAATGTGAGACTATCTCTACTTGTAGATAATATGATTGTATATGTAGAAAACTCTGAAGAATCCACACACAGAAAAATACTGCTATCGCTAATAAATAAATTTAGCAAAGTTGCAAGGTACAAAATCAATACACAAAAATCAATTGTACTTCTGTTTTAAAAAGCTTATTTCTTCTATGAGAGAGACACACAGAGAAACTAAGAGACAGGCACCCCCAACAGGGTTCTTACTCTATGACCCCACCTCCAGTCTCAACTGGCCCAGATCACAGAAACATGTACATACCCATTGTGCTCAGGGAGGTCTCAGGATATGAACCCAGGACCTTTCCTATGTAAGGCCAATTACATTACCACTGTATCACTACCTGGCCCCTCAGCTGTATTTCTATGCACTAGCAATGAACAATCTGAAAAAAAAAATTAAGAAAGCAATTCTATTTACAATAGCATTAAAAAAATAAAATACTTAACAATGTAAGTGAAATAAGCCAGATACAGAAAAAGAAATATAATTATCTCTCATATACAGAAATACAGGAAAACTGCATAGAAGAGAGAAGTAGGGATGGCCCATGACCTACTGGTTAAGGGACTGGATCCCGCCTGACCAACTGTAGTTCAAGTCCCAGGCCTAGCAGCTTGAAAAACATACTGGTCGTGTGGGTATATATGCTCCCAATCCAAAAGGATGGAAAAATGGAGAAGGAATTGTTGTATGACCATGCCCAGTTTTGGGGTGCTTTCTTTTCCCTCTCTCTCTCTCTTTTCTCTGGCAAGTAGCATGCCCTCTGGCAAATTGAAAAAATAAAGAAGTAGAGAGATGTAGAATGACTAGTGGATGCTAAGAAGGATGAGGGTAGGTAAATACAGGGATCTTGATTAACAGAAAAGACAACGTCAGGACCAGCAGATGGTATTATGGTTACGTCACTGGACTCCCACATAGTTGACCGTGGTTTGAGTCCTAGACCTGGAGACTTAAAACTCACGCCAGGCATATGTGCGTGCATGCTCAAGATCCCAAGAGGAGAATGAAGGAGAAGGGATTGCAGCGTGGCCATCCCCCCTGGGGGGTGATTTCTCGCTTTCTGTCTCTCTGTCTCTCTCTGTCTGTCTGGTGAGCGCATGCGCCCTATAGCAAAAAATCTCTAAAAAAAAAGAACTATGGGACCAGCAGTTAGCGTAATGGCTATGTCGCTGGACTCCTACGAAGTCGACCGCGGTTCGAGTCCCGGCAGCTTAAACTCACGACGGGCACGTGTGCGTGCGTGCCCAAGATCCCGAGAGGAGAATGAAGGAGAAGGGATTGCAGCGTGGCCATCCCCCCTGGGGGGTGATTTCTCGCTTTCTGTCTCTCTGTCTCTCTCTGTCTGTCTGGTGAGCGCATGCGCCCTATAGCAAAAACCTCTCCAAAAAAAAAAAAAAAAAAGAACTATGTCCAGTGCTATGAAATACAGTGAAGAGAATGTGGCTAATGACTATCTGTATATATGTTAAAAATGATTGAGATTTTAGGTATATTAATTATCCTGATATAATCATCACACATTGTGATGGCATGAATTTTAAGGCCCCTAGGTCTAGGACTTGAACTGTGGTCAACTATAGGGGAGTCCAGTGATGTAACCATTACGCCATTTTCTGGTCCCAACGAAGAAATTGTAAGACTTACACACAGAACTGCCATATTTGGTTAAAGATCTAAATAAATAGAAAATCATTGCATGTTCGTGAATTGAAAGACTTAATATAGTTAAGATGACTACCAAAAGCAACCTACAGATTCAGTGTAATCCTTATCAAGATCCAAATAGCATTTTTTTTGCAGAATGTAAAAAAACCATCCTAGAAAAATTTACATGAACTGGATCAGCAGATGGCTTAATGGTTATATCACTGGACTCCCATGTAGTCAACCACAGTTTGAGTCCTGGACCTGGTGGCTCAAAACTCACACTGGGTGTTTGTGCGTGCATGCTCAAAATCCTGAGGGGATGGGACCAGCAGGTGGCGTGGTGGTTAAGGCGCTGGACAC